TACCATTCACTGGATTGATTTAAAAATCCAAGAGCTAATTATTGTTTTTAGGTAATAATTATATTTCATTGGATGAAATTTTAATCGAATGTAACTTTATTTTCACTGGTAATTTGTTTGACGGTATGATAACAATATTACTTTAGTATTACTCTTTACTGTTAATTTAGCTTTCAAGGGTACCAAAGGTAAAGCCAATTTACAGTCTTGTAACCTATAAATGGTTTTTCGCAAGTGGAATGATGAAGTTTATGCGGCATCATTTAGTTCCTTGCTTAATATCGGAAGGAAATAAAAAAAATGTACAGCATAAATTGGACAGTAAATTGTACTATTTACCTTTATACAAACAACGCTATTACAATTAGATATTATGAATTTATTACGAACAGGACCTGCTAAACACTTGTTAAAACATCAAAATATCTTTGCTTAATTTTAAATTTAATATGTTTAACTAAAACTAAAATTAAATAAAAGTAAAAGTACTTACCACGTTTTATTCAGCAACCATAACCATATTGTTTTGTTCAGTTTTGTTATTGTATCGGTTCGAACGGGTGACAATCCCAAAGTCAGATTTACATTGTACAAATAATTGATTAATTCATGTTTTTCAAATAAGTGTAGTATTTATATAAATATATAATTTTAAAACAATACTTACCGTGTATTACTTTTGTTATTAAGCGAAATATATTTGAATTATTCAATTATTCAGTGTACTTTAAATTTAAATATCATTTTATTATTGTAAAACGGACTGATATGCGCGGATGTGTTGCGCACTAACCTGTTGATATAACGCGCATATGTTATAAGCTCCCCTGTTCAGAATCGCTGAATTACCCTGGATCAGCTAAGAGGTTGTTATAACCTCGTGACGTGTTTTTGAAAAATAAATTTGTCTACTGTATTTGAGAACTGGACAAACCAAAACAAACCCTTAAAATTAGTATGAGGAAGTCACAAATTTCTATAGGTATACACTTGATAGCGCATCATTCATATATTTGTGTGACGTTGCCGGATGGATTTTACTTGAAATAAAAACGTATCCGTGCAAGCTTACATGTGTTGTGTTTAGTCTCTTACAAAAAACATTTTTTAGCATTGAGAATCTCAAACTTTTGGTATTCACCATTAGGCGATATTTTTGTGTACGACTGTCGCGCGTGAACTACCTTAATAATTACTACATGTAAACAACTTATTTGAAATTGGTCGGTATTAGATACCATAAGTATTTGTATTTAATATATTTACCTGAAGTAAAATTGTTTACAATTCAAAACCCATTGGTAGGCAGTACCCCGCGCATATGAGAACATCATTATATTCCTCCACAGAGCCGCCGAGAGCCAGGTCGGGCCCCAGGACAATTCTCAAGATCGGGTCCCGTGACAAATTTTATAAAAAAATTTCTCCTCTTTACTTAAATTTCTCTAAAAAAAGGTCTTCAAGCGAACACTTCTCCTTTACTTGAAGTTTCTAAACAAAAAAAAAGTCTTCGAACAAAAACTTCTCCTCCTCTACTTGAATCTCTCTAAAAAAAGGTCCCCAAGCAAAAACTTCTCCCTCTTGTCTTGTGTCGGGCCCCCCTTATACCGCTGCTGGGCCCCCATTTGAGCCCGGGCCTCGGGAATTAGTCCAGACTGCCCCCCCCCTCTTATCGGCCCTGTTCCTCCAAAATAAAAGGGGGTTTATCGTTTTGTCTTGAAATTAAATTTTGATATTTCGAAAGGAGCATCACTTCCATGGTTTTATGCAATATTCAACATTTTAACTGATAGTAGGCAACGTTGTAACCATGTGAAATTATTATATAGGCTCCTTATGAGCGCAAATAATAAACAATATTTTCATATCAATTTGCTTCTAAATGCCCAATTAAACGAATACATGAAGAATTTCTTAGAATACTGAAGACTTTTACGTAAAAATTATTAAAAATTCCGATGCAATTTCTAATTGTACAAAAAAGGCTTACCAAAATATAAGTGGCATGTCACGACGCTTTTGTCAAAAATAAGGGTAGATTATATATTAGATTTAAAAGGACCCAGACAGCACACCAAATCCCAGAGATATCCACAGAATATCTTTTGTGGATATCCAATATATCCACAGGATATCAGAAATATTCCGTAGATCTAATATCCAAATGTCCGTCTATATCCAGAATATAGAAGATATCGTAATGGATATTCAGCAAAATATCTAATGGGTATTTTCCAGAAAATACAAGAAATCCCAGAGATATCCACAGAATATATTTTGTGGATATTCAATATATCCAATATGGATATCCAACCAAATGTCCGTCTATATCCCAGGATATAGAAGATATTTGAATATTCAGCAAAATATTTTATGGGTATCTTTAGTAGAGGTTCATAAGTAACCAATGATTATTGAATAACGTCGAAAGAAAATAGCAGAGATAAAAAATATTTTCAACACTCTGCTTTTGATTCTGCCCACTAAGGAGAAAGTCATCTTTATTAGGACTCTTCAGCAATAAATGAAAATTCTCGACTTCAGTCTCTAATGGAGTGATTAGGACACAAATTTCGATCGAACTCAATTACGGCGGGTCGAGCATGAGTAGATGCGATAGTGGTATCGCCATCTATACTTAGTAAGCAGAATCAGATAACATCTAGTGGATATCCACGATGGTTTGCGTTCGCGCCTAGACTTTGATATATTTAGTGGATGTTCATGGGATATTGAATACACCTTAAAAAAATTAATTTTAAATATCTGAATGGTACTATTAGCCACAATGGCGTAATTTTTTAATAATTTGCTATATAATTACTATTATTTATGGACATTTGCATGTCTATAAATTACATTTCATGGATATAAAATAGATATCTACCATGGACTGGACATTCAGTGGATATTGGATGTTCAGTAGATATCCAAAGGATTTGGTGTGCTGTCTGGGGAGTTTGACATTATTTGTCCATGTCCATAGCGACCTTTTCAGATCTATTCTGGGCAGAGCTGTTCCAAGTACAAGAAAAAAGTACTTAAGTACAGAGTACAAGTACTCTTCCCAAAAAGTACTCGAGTACCAAGTACATAACGTAGAAAAGCACACTTAATGAGTACTCGAGTACTTTTGTAAGTACAGAGTACCAAGTACATTAATAATTAATTTTTTATTGTATAATCTTATAGCTTTTGTATACTATATGTATATACTAGTACAGGTTTAAATATATTAGATATTCACAATCGGTCAACAAAATACTAAGTACTACAGAAAATTTTGTGTTATATTTAGTTGATTAACTCTGGATATGACCACAATAAAATCTATACCTTTCTAGGAACCAATTTTATTTGCCTTTAATATTACAAGTTTTTCAAAATTTGCATCAGTAAGAGCATGGCGACGAGGGTCGTTTAACATTGTTGCAAATGAAAAAAGTCGCTCCACTGCAGCAGAAGATGGTAAACATGTATTATACCGTATAAAAACTTTTTTTATTGTTGGGTAGTCATCCAGCATGGACAGATCGGTTCTCTTATCCTCAAGATAATGTAAAAGCTCCAACTCAACTTTTGATCTTCTTTTATCGTGTTTGTTTACTTTCTTAGATTTCTTAGATTCTGATGTTTCGATTTCGTCAAAATCAAAAAAACCGTCATATTCGTTTTCAGCATCGTGTTCATTACTATCATTGCTGCCATTGTCATTATCAACATTTTCAGAATCTAACAGCCGTTCAGCACATGAAATAAATGTTTGTTTTTCACTGTCCAGTGAGATTCCTGTCTGGGACTGTAGCTCACTTTTTAGGGTGTTGAACCACCGAAGTTTAAATTTTGGATAAGAAACTGCGGCTATTAGTGCTTCTCCACATTCTAAATGAAAAACAGAGGAAAACCGTTTAAACAGTGCCTCAAGACATGCGTCCAAAATCCAATTTGCACTGTAATGTCTAGGGCCCTGGAAATCGACTTTCATATTCTTCCATTTGTTGGCTAATGAAGTCAATGTTGGAAGTAGATAACCAAAGTAAGTATTAGTTTCACCCTGTAGTATGTCCAAAGCTGTTGCCAAAGGCTTTAATACTTGACAATAATCTTCCAAATACTGGATTTCAGTTTATTTAAAATGGGGGAGGCCCAGCCTTTGATGTAAAGTAGTCAGTTTTGGTCTCGTACCTTCATGCAAAATCCGAGATATGCAGTCGAAATGGGAATTCAAACGGGTTTCACCAGGGCTGCTTAAGGTGTGACCCAAAACATCCATTATAATTTCTGCTGTTCCTGGCCTGCCCGCCTTTGCCCATAATTTACGACATTTGTCAATTGCATGCATGTGTTTCGTCCGAACTCCTACATTGGAAGATATAGCTTTCATACAATCACTAGTAGCTATTAAATTTAAAGTTTGACTTGAGCAACGAATGTGATTTGGTAGCGTGATTGTTGAAACTGTTTCCTCTGTTAAAAAAATACATTCAGGAATTTCAACTTCAACTACTTCAATTTGTTCGCTCTCATCATTAAGGACAGCAGCAGCATTGTCATCCTCGTCTACGTCGTCATCGTCATCGCTAAGTGCGAGATCCCTATTCTTTTTGGGCTCATTTTCTGCAGATTCTTGCAACGTAAATTCTTTGAACGCTTTGACAAAGTTACTGCCATTATCTGTAACTGTGGCAACAATTTGATTCATTTTTATTCCATATTTTGCATATATATAGTCTAGAGTTTCTGCTATGGTCTTATAATTATGGGCTCCACGAAATCGCTGACATGCCACTGCATAAGACACCCTTTTTAATTTTTCGTCCAACCAATGCAAAATTACTCCAATAAAGCTGCGACGTTTCGATGACCATATGTCGGCAGTAGAACACAAGTACGGTTGTTTGCTTATCAACAACTTTAAGTCCTGTTGGTGAGATTGAAAAAATCAAACATAGCTCTAAAACTGGGATGATCTATGACAGATACAAAAGAAATCGTGTTTATCACAAAATAGACAACTCTTCTATTAAATTCTGCTTGACTGTTAATGTGACTTGGCGCATTTTTTTACTAGCGGTAGTGTGAGATATTTCTGATGTGTGTTTATTCTTTTGTTTCTCCGTTTTGTATTTGATATATTCTTTATGTTCACTAGGGTGTAATCGCTTTAAGTGTTTGATGAAATTAGTCGTTATTTCTACAGATCCTTTAATGATTTTTTGCTTCGGTAAACATAACTGACATGAAGCATCCACATGATCTTTTCCATCCCAATGCAAGACTTTAAAAAATTTCCCGTCTAACATTGAACTATTACCAAACTTTATTTGGTATTCTTCCGAATAAAAAAAGTTTTTTGTGGGATGAGCAGACTCAATAGACCCAGACGCTTGAGGGTAAGATGCTGTAGATGATCTTGCTCCCATTTTCTTTTGCTGGGGATTTAAGCTTTCACTTGTGTCCTTTTTCTTAGCAATGGAATGAAAATATTCCGTTAATTTTCTCGTAATTTTTTCGTGCCGATTTCAGATAAATCTTGCCCAGGAAGGTACTCGGGATCATCATCCGAAAGGTTTTCGAAGGGATCTTTATGATTCGCGACGTCACTTTCGTCACTTGCTGATACGTCCATTACGTTTCAGTTTTAGTTGATGCAGAAAATCTGCAAAGAGAAAAAATTGTTTATGTAAATATACAGGGTGTCCCAGCTTTTATGTTACAGGCTCTAACTACTGTGTCTGTATATTAAACAGAAAAAGTTTCAAATAAAAATACTTAGATTAATCAACTCTAGAAAATGCCGTATTTTGCTTTTCGCTTACTCGTGAACTTCAAGGTCATTTGAAACTCAAATTTGTTTTTTTAAATGGAACACCCTGAACATTTTTGCATTTTAGAATACTCTGAAAAATATAAACAAGTTTTATAGGACATACTTTTTTCTACGCCGGGCAATTTTCGAAATAGTGACAGTTGGAATTTGACATTTTTCAGCTTTGAAGAGCTGTAGGGCTAAACCGGAACTTCCAGTTGCACTTGAAATTGGTCTCATAGAAAAGTTTACAAAAAAAAAAAAACTAACAGAGGCATGCAAACCGTTTCGCCCTAAGTTCAACCGTTTAGATGTTTCAATGTTGAAAACTGTCAAATTTCAACTGTCAATATCTCGAAAATGGCTCAGTATAGAAAAAAGTATCTCCAATAACACTTGTTTATATTTTTCAGAGAATTCTAAAGTGCAAAAATATATAGGGTGTTCCATTTAAAAACATAAAGTTGACCTTCAAATTACCCTGAAGGTCAAGAGTAAGCGAAAAGCAAAGTACTGCATTTTGTAGTCAATTATTTTAAGTAACTTTTATTTGAAACTTTTTCTGCTTAATGTACATATTGAGTAGTTAGAACCTGTCACATAAAAGCTTCGGATGCTATTTTCTCGGATGTTTCTAAAATTGTGAACTTGAAATTTCGAAGTGACAGATAGTTCATAGAGGGATACATAGCGGTGTACTTTACTCGCCATTATACTTAACCCCACCGTTCCCACCAACCCCCAACTTAATATCTTTAATGTCACCTTATCCCTATATTTTTTTCACGGATTATGAAAGAGCACATCTTTCTAGTTTAATAAGTGAAAAAAGTAGTACTTTACATAAAAAAGTCTTTGTGATATTTCACTTCAAAGTTTAAAAAATAAAATATTCTGTCAATTTAATTTTATCAAGTTTTGGCGAGTTGTGCGGATCACGTTCATTTGTTTGAAAAAAAAAACAGACTTGTATGCTTGTATTATTTATTTTTTGTAAACAACTTTAGTAAAATAAGATTAAAGAATGTTACGTAATAGATATTTAATACTGTGATTTGTTGAAATAAAAATAAATTTTCGAGTTTGTGTATCTCACTATCTCACCGGACCAGTCCGGCACTGCAAGTTTGATTGAATATACCTAGTCAAGCGGTTATCTTTTTATGTTTTTTTATATTTGTTACCCTAAAGAGGTAGGATGCCCTAAGCCCTTAACCTCCAAAAATTACTCGACTCGAGATCTTCACCAAAGCTATATTTATACCAAGTTTGGTTAAACTTGGTCAAACGGTTCTCTTGCTACGCGTGCGAAAATATTGGCTACATACGCACACACGTACATACATACATTTTTTTAAACATGGCTTTTAGTATCTGGAGACCACAAAACTTGTAAAAAAGTTATTTTCTCAAAAACGAAATTTTACTCGATCACAATACTTTCCCTTTACTTTCAAGTATACGGCGAGAAAGTAAAAAGATACGTATCTATTTAAAAAAACAAAGTTGACCTTGAAATAATCTTGAAAAGATTCCTTATTTTCTGTCCCACAGAACACCAAACAACTTTTATTCGAACTTTTTTTAACGCATCAGTTTTGAGGTATCAATCTGTCTCAAGTCAAATGGACCACCCGGTATATTGCTTTTTATTCAGTTTTATTTAGATTTATTCCTCCCTTCAAAAACCAACATTTCATTTCTTATATGTTTAACAGTGTTTGAGTTCCAAAGATAAAAATACTGCTAATACCTAACCTACAAAGTTTGATTAAAAGATTATTTTTCTGCATAAACCCAAACCAATCTGTGTATAATGATTAAAACCTTTACAGCCTTCTGTAGATAGAGGTATTTTTTAGACACAAAGTATCTAAATACGTAATCACTTACCTTTACAAATAATTGAGTTTCATAAATTTACACGACAAAGATTGAATAATTTATACGATAAAGTTCACTAACTTAACTTCGGCTGATCGGCACTTTTAAAACACTACCGTCTCCGGCTACCGACAAATCGAATCTAACATTACACGTGGCAGTTAGAACAGACAGACTGAGATTGAGACAAGTCTAAACAAATATGAACTGCGCATAATTTGTATTTGTGTGAAGTACTTAAGTACATTCAAAAGTACTTAAGTACATTCCAAAGTACTTAAATACATTCAAAAGTACTTAACTACATTCAAAATTACTTAAAGTACTTATTTGTCTGAAGTACTTAAGTACATTCAAAAGTACTTACAGTACTCTAAAATGTACTTGAGTACAAACGTTCTCAATAAAGTGAAAGTACAAGTACAAATACATAGGATCCTAATGTACTCTGGACTGAGTACCAAGTACACTAAATGTACTTAGAGTACAGCTATCGAGTACTTGTACTTGAATACCGCACAGCTCTGATTCTGGGACTCCATTTGTTTTAGAGTCTGTCATCTAAGTTTGGACTTTTTTATTAGACTTAGTTTCCTTGACTGGTATCCACATGCATGTGTCTGGCTTTTCTTCATCTAGTATTAGAAACCTCAATCTAGTTAGGCTTTCACATTGGTGCAGGACGTGTATTGATGTTTCCGTTTCTTATTCACAACCCGAATGAATTAAAAAAAAAAAAATTACAAAATATCTTAGAATTTTAAAATAATTTAATTTTGTACCAGAAGTGAAAACTTACTTTTTAGAAGATACCGAAGAAGATTCTACTTCTAGTACACAGCGACTACGGTTGTTTACTACATTGTTTTTACTTCTTTTTGAAAAAAAGTAAAATGTATACGTGTATTTGATACGCTAAAATTACAAAATATCGCCCTAAAGTGGTCGAATTATCTGCAGCTCGCGCTAGTATTGCTTTTGCTTCCCCTACCATAACTTCGCACTGAGCGAATATAATCATTATACGTTTCCACATATAAATTTTCTATACTACTTCCCTTAACTAAGTATGTACTAAAAAAAATTTATAAGTTTTCAATAATGAGTCTAGTACAATCAAAAAAGTTTACTTTGTGTTTATTAAACTACAACTGGGATACAACAGTTCTAAGCTATTTTTCACAGTATTTTAGACCTCAATAACACTTTCAAAAAAGAATTGTTTAACTAGGTGTAAGTAGGCGTTTGCAATAAATACTTATAAATTACCTTTTGCCTATATCAATACAAAAGTATGTATATAAAGACACTTGTTTACTTACTCTATTGGCAAAACATTGGATTTCAAATAAAAGTGATATGAACAAACTTTGGCATCTTTCAGTTTTGAGATCTTCCTCATTTATTTTCAAGTTGTTCAGCCACAATGACGTTTGACCTCCGAGCAATTACTACTAGAGGGAGGCTTCCCCCCTTCCCCGCGCTAAATTTTGTTAGCAACATCTACTCCCCCTAAGGGGGAAAATACCTCTTCTGTAATTGGCTTATTTAATCAGCGTTGCCAAGTTTGACAGCGCCAGAAGTGTTCTGTGAGCGCCAGTTCTGACACATGTTAATTTCTTATTTGTATTTTACGAAAAATATTATTATTTATAACGTTGTAAGGGTTGTAAATGTGTATTTAAGATTTATTATCTCTAATAATATGATGAAAACATGCTTTATGTGTAAAAGGCCTGTTGAAAATGCTTCTTCAAGATAATATCATAAGTAAGTACAGACACAACCTAATTATCAGAGGCGGTGCATTAGGCAATCACCTTTAATTTGCAATTAAACTTTCTTATTTTCTTATCGAAAAATTAAAATTAAGAGCAAGTACACTCCAGCTTAGTTCGTCTTCATCCGTCTCATAATGATTATAGTATATAAAGGTTAATTACTTATTATTATTTTAATATCACATCTTTGTAAAGTTTATTGTTATTTTTTTTAGGTTTTCTTTTCTTGATATGAGAAAGAAATACATGGTTCCAAAAGATAGGAATTCAACAAGTGACCACCTGAATAACTTTTTATGCTAATGAACATTTTTATTACAGACCTCAGGGAAGGAAAATATTAAAGAAAAATGCAATTTCGACGAAAGAAGTATAATAATCAATCCTGTCTACTTCTACACTATATTTATCTGCTACTAAAATACTAAAACAGTAAGTAAGTAGAGAAACTTAAGTTTCTTTCAAAAAGAATGTTTAAGGAAAAAGGCATAGCTATTTTTTTGTTGGCACTTTTTTTTAAATAATCTAAAAGACTAATTTTGTGTATTGTTTAAATGTTCATTTTTTGTACTTAATTTGTTTTAGGTTTAAACAAAATGAACTTTTAAGATATGCATGGAATATCCCAAAAGAGCTAAGGAAGGTTTTAAAATTCTTAAGAAAAGTATTCAGAGCCAAAAACATAAAATAGTCTTCCTGTCCAAAATATAAATAGGTATAAATATTTAGATATTATGAGTGATTTTTTATTCTATAAATAGAATGTTACGTGAAATTAATTTTAAATTACTTTCAAATTTATTTTTAACAACAACTTCTCCATAACCCCTCGTAACACAACATCGGTCGTATCATTGTTACCATTATCGATTTTTACAATGCATCATCTACGCATGATCTGCTAATATCGGCGCATAGACCGTAGCGATTCTTTCAGTCAGGAGTTCAT